CTCAAAGCCCCCTCCCTTCAAGCATAGATGATGTCACCTAGTTGGGTCATGAAACGTCTGCAAGTAAACAGCCAAGCTCAGAGAGCACCAAGGACCCCTCCGTCCCACCCTGAACTGCAAATAGTCTTTCCATTGATAGCTTAGATACCACCAACCATCTCAAGCCCTGGTGATCTGGGTTTTCCTTCTTTTTCTCTCCGTTCTCTTTCAGAAACTAACTTGCCACTTCGAAGTCTGGTCCCGTCCTTGGCTGAAAACGACGTTGTTGACAAAGGTGACCTGTAACTAATCTGGACGGCTGGGATGGACTGACTGAGATGACCCCAATACGGGCAGATGGTTCTGTGGTGTGTCCAGCAGCCCTACGAGCTGAATTTATAGCAAGCTTTGCTTTTTCCGTCATGATCCTATAGACGACCCTTCACAAATCATAAACAAAATGATTCACTTAAGTTCACGTTTTTCCAGCAGTATATGTGGGGGGCTTCTTTTCTCTAGTTTTCTTTGCTATGGTTTTAGTTATAGAGAAGACAGATCCGTACTTGACTGAGTTGGTTGTTAATTAGTCTTAATAAAGCTGTCGGCATGACGATCTGGCTTGTGTTCCTTTCTTATCCAAATCCCATCCAAGCTTAATGATTTGGCACCCACAACACAATGGAATGAGTGAGTAAGAGGAGGCAGGGAGGGAGGGGGGGAGAAAAGGAAAGAAGGAAGGAAAGAGAGATAGGTTGGAAGGGAGGGAATCGATGGAAGGAAAGAAGGAAGGAAGGAGAGAGATAGGTTGGAAGGGAGGGATGGATGGAGGAAGGAAGGAGATAGGTTGGAAGGGAGGGATGGATGGAGGAAGGAAGGAGAGATAGGTTGGAAGGGAGGGATGGATGGAGGAAGGAAGGAGAGATAGGTTGGAAGGGAGGGATGGATGGAGGAAGGAAGGAGATAGGTTGGAATGGAGGGATGGATGGATGGAGGAAGGAAGGGAGGAGAGATAGGTTGGAAGGGATGGAGGAAGGAAGGAAGGAAAGGAAGGAAGGAAGGAAGGAAGGAAAGGTTGGAAGGGAGGGATGGATGGAGGAAGGAAGGAAGGAGAGGTTGGAAGGGATGGAGGAAGGAAGGAAAGAGATAGGTTGGAATTGAGGGAATCGATGGAAAGAAGGAAGGAAAGAGATAGGTTGGGAGGGAGGGATGGAGGAAGAAAGGAAAGATTGGGAGGGATGGATGGAGGAAGGAAAGAAGGAAGGAAGGAAAGATAGGTTGGAATGGAGGGAATCGATGGAAGGAAAGAAAGGTTAGGGAGGGAGGGAGGAAGGAAGGAAGGAAAGATTGGGAGGGAGGGATGGATGGAGGAAGGAGAGAAGGAAGGAAGACAGGTTAAAGGGAAGGAGGGAGGAAAGGGAAGGAAGGAAGGGATAGGTTGAAAAGGGGAGGGAGGGAGGGAGGAAAGGGAAAAGGGAAAGAAAAGGGAGAGGAAGGAAGGAAAATTGGAGGGAAGGGGATGAAGGAAGCAAGGAAGGAAAGAGGGAGAGGGAGAAAGGAGAATTGGAGGGGAAGGAAGGAAGGAAGTCGAAAGGGATGGAGGGAGGGAGGAAGGAAGGAAGGAAAGAGTCAGATTGGAAAGAAAGGAAGGTGGTGACGTGCAGAAAACACATACCTGCCCTTTGCACTCCGATCTATCTACGCTTCAGGACCGCAGAGCAGCAAGGCAGAACACAATGTTCTGGGTCAAGATCTGCTTAATTTCTACATATTTTAATCTTGTGCCTTATATTTTAAATGTTATGTCATGCAGTA